GATTTTAAAGACAGAATCCCATTATCTTTAACTAAAACACAATATTGAAAATTCATCCGAAACATTTTTGAACTAGGAACTTCAGAAATGTTGAAGAGCAAAATCAGTACCAAAGCCTAAAACTGAGGTAAGCAATCAGGATTGTGGTGTGTGCATTTTTAGATAAACTGTAAGTTTCTTTTGGATTCTGCCGTTTTAAAAATGTATCAGTTATTTCTCTTTGTGGCAAGCAGGAGAAGGTAAGATGCAAAGTTGTACGTTGTAGAACATGCTTTTCAACAGAAAATTACTCCTCCTTAGAGTCACCAGGAAGTGAATTTTCCATCTGGTCTTTTTCTCTTGAGAGCTTATCCTGCCCAGATAGAACACACTTCCTTTCCTGTTTCTTTTCCTAGGTGACAATCTATCAACAAGGTGACTGAACACTGGAAATGAGATGGAATGTTTGGCTGAAAATTTTGCTTTTGAGTTCCTTTTACTCTATAAAAGGAATTTCTTGAGATTCCTCTTTTGAGTCAATGTTTAGTTTCCTTTCTGTTGCTTGTGTGAAAACATTAACTAAAAGTACCTTAGGGGAGCAGAGGAAATAGTGTGTTTACAGTTTCAGCTCACAGTCAATTATCCGGGAAAATCAAGGCGGAAACTTGAGCAGAGCTGGAAGTGTTAACCGTGGGTCAAGGTCAGCTGCTTGCTGACTTGCTCTCAGGCTCATGCTTAGGTGGCTTTCTTAACAGCTTAGGGCTGCCTGCCTGGGGAATGCAGCCGCCCACAGTAGGCTGGGCCCTCCTACATCTATTAATAATCAAAACAATCTGCCACAAAAGAGCCACAGGCCAATCTTATCCAGACAATCCCTCAATTGAGTCTCCTTCTTAAGCAATTGTAGAGTATGTCCAGTTGATAGTTAAGTGTTCTGTTGACAATCAATGTCCAACTATTAATGGTTTGACTATGAAATGTCATTTAGTTTCACAGTTTCAGACTAAGGTTGGCTAGATCCATTGTTTTGACCCTGAGGTGAGACAGAACATCACGAAAGCAAGAAATCTGAGAAAGCTGTTCATTTTATGGTATTGAGGAAAGATAGGAAGGGACCAGGAACACGATGGGCACATCAAAGGCAGAAACTCAATGATCCATTTCCTCCCACTTAGTCCTCACAACCTAGCAGTCAATTTACCTATGAACAGTCTTTTGGCAAAGTTAGTATCCTTACATTTCCATCACTTCTCAGTAGTGCCAACACCCAAGTCTGCTACACATGACGCCCTGGCGCCATTTTAGCTCCAAGCTGTAACTATAGGCTCAACTTAAATTTTAGTGCCATGTGTTCTATGACTGCTACATTTTTTTTTATGTTAACTTAGTCTCAGAGAGGATAAAATACTCTCCTCAAACCACACTGGCCAGAAATACAGGCCTGTAATTCTCATCTGTATTCTGGCTCTTGAGATTGCATTTTTACTCATGACACAATTTATTATACAACCATTTCTTCAAAGTCATACAGAGACATACTCTAAAAGTAACTTCTGAACGTTTCTTCTGAATTTCCTCTTCTGAGGACATCTATTGTTAATTTATTCTAAATGATGACCTTTTCATTTCCTCTGCAATTTGTAATAGCCATCCTTTTTCTGTGTAAACCAGAATTTTACTTGTTCATTACTGAAATTGGCATGAGCAGGTTATTGTCTCTTGAGAGGTGAGCCTACACAGGTATCTAAATCACATTTCATTTGTTAATAAGGACTCACTTGGATAACAGAAACTCAAAGATGATTGCCAAAAGTATTTAAAGCATTTGGCAGACTTTGGTGACTTTTGGTAGATATTAGCAATGGGCAAGAGAGAAAGAAGGGCATGTTATTAGATTCCAAGACATGCAATGAGGCCCCTCAATGATTAAGAGTGTGCTATTATTATTATAGCTGTGTGTTATATTAATATTTTAATATATTCTATAATATATAACATAGTATATATATTTACATAATATATTCTATAACTAATAATATAGCTATATATTATTATTAATTTACTCCTTGGTATTATGTTGTGATGTAGTTTACATATATACCTTTATTTTCTTGATGTTCATGTACATTGATTTAGAAAGAAATTTTCCATTGTAATAGGAAATTCACTAAAAATTACAAGTTTTGGAATTTGTTTCTATTTTCAATTTTTCCCGTCTATCTACTAATCTCACATTCTTTTTCAGTGACTCCCCATGTGTCCCCACCATCCATGCCTCCCCTTCGACTCTCAAAGAACGCAGTCAGTGCCATCGGCTCGACTCTACAGGGCCTACCATCTACAAATGTTTCCATGGAAATCATTGTAAATTATTACTGTAAACTTCTCATTCTTTCCTGAAATGTCTGAATGCGCATGTGTGTGCACACACAAGTGTGTATGCATGTGCACCACACTACATGAGGAAAGGGGACAACTCAGGAGGTTCTGTTCTCTCCTTCTACATGTGGGGACTGGCTGTGGAACTCAGACTGTGAAGCTTGCTGGCAAAAAACATTACCTCCTGAACCATCTCTCTAGCCCTAGTTTCCATTCTTGAAGGAACTGTCACATGTGGTTAACTTTAGAGAGGAAATACTACATATCAGATATCCTCCATATCAGATATTTACACCACAATTTGTAACAGTAGAAAAATTACACTCATGGAGTAGCAACAAAGTAATTTTAGGGTTGGGGATCACCACAACATGAGGAACTGTATTAAAGGGTCACAGCATTAGGAAGATAGAGGACCATTGTTCTAGATTTACTTAATATATTGGCTGTATCACTTTATCACATTTTACATATGGATATTTATTGATATTAATATTACATAATCAATGTTAGAAAAACTTTTCGTTAGTTATATGCTAGTGTGTATATAGTTTCTATAAGTTGAAATGGTTAAATACTCTAATTTCTTAAGACATTTAAAAAGCTTTCTGTCTAGACATTTCCGTTTGAACATGGGGCTAAGTCAGAGCCTACTTTTTCAAACCATGGTATTGAAAAATTGGTATTTGAAAAAGTAGGCTCTGAACACAGATTTGGTTTTACCGTAGGTCTCTGGGTTATGTAGTCTCAGGTTCTTGGTCAACCAGTCAGGTATGGGTTCCATCTTGTGGAGTGGGCCTTGAGTCCAATCAGATATTGTTTGGTTATTTTCTCAAGCTTTTTGCCACAATTGCACTAATATAACTTGCAGGTAGAACAGCATTGTAGATCAAAGGGTTTGTAGCTGGGTTAGTGTTCACATTTCTACTTTGGTAGCTATCGTGCAATGTACCTTCCTAGACCCAAGAGCCTAGGATGCAGAGGTGGAGGTTCTATGTAGGTACCAGCTTGACTTCTCCACATTCAATGAATTGTGTAGATGTTCTCTTCAGCAGTAGGGCCTTGCTGTCAGTTTGTGGAGAGCAACTTATAGTCTCAGCAACTTGGCTTGGGTTGTTTGGGGTTTGGCCTAAATGACTTCTCATGACATTCTGCTATCCTCATACATCAGAGCCTTGCTTAGCCATGATCAGGGAATCTTCCTCCTGCAGCAGATGGGAACAAATGCAAAGACCCATAATCAGACATTATGCAAAGAGTGAGAGACCTTGGGATACTCTGAGCCACAAATGGGATATCTCCTCAAATCCTTTCTTTGAGGGCTCAGGGAACCCCATGGAAGAAGAGATGGAAAGAGTGTAAGAGCCAGAAGGGATGGAGGACATCAAGAAAACAAAGCATTTTAAATCAAAATGATAACACACAATGAACTCACAGACTGAGGCAGCATGCAAAGGCATTCATGAGATGGGGATCTAGAGTTGAAAGGAGAAATGGACACTTGTACATGTCCCCATTCCTAACTATTATCCAGTTGATAACCTTTGCAAACGAAAATTTCGTTTCCTTTAAGAAATCTCACTGGGGAAACAAGCTCTCTTAATTGTAGTCTGCATGCCCAGCCATAAATGGCCAACAGAAAATGAACTAAACAGTATCTTTGCAGGTTCTTCATCTCATAATGTTCTGTCAGAGCTCTTCCATTAAAAAAAAAAAAAAAATCTTATTTTTTATTTTTATTTTATTTATGTATTTTATTTCTCTCTTTTTACCCTACAGGTTCTTTGCATATATATTATGGTTTCCAGTTTAGTGTTTCTATGAATGTGCAAATAAGTTTCTTGCCTTCACTTGGGTTTTTCCCCCTTCTGTTTGTTTTACTCAATATTGATGTGTCAGTTTTTGCTTTATCTTATCTTATTTTCTCTTATTATTATCTCAGAATTCTGTTTGTTTTCTAATGAGCGACAGGAAGGGGGGGTCAGTCTTGATGGTGGGTGGGGAGGAGCTAGGAGGAGTAGAAAAAGGGGAAACTAATCAGGATACATTACGTGAGGAAAAAAAATCTCTTTTCAATAAAAGAAAGAACAGCATTTTTGGGGTAAATAAAATTAATCCTATTATCATGTATAGCAACCATCCCCTCTATTATTTTGGGCCTACAAGGTTCCGCTTTAAGTACTTGCAATTCTGGAGCTTTTTTTTTTCTTTTTAGGGAAGAGGATTTAACTCTGTACTCTAGCACAAGCAAACCAGGGAGCATGTAGATCTGTGCCGAGATTCCTCAAAGAAATTCTTGATCAGGTCAGGCTAGCAAAGAACAAAAGGAGCCCGCGGTAAAAAACAAACAAACAAACAAACACTGTATTCTAATCAGTAGTTCACTTCAACGCCAATGGACCTTTCAGCTCTTTACGGAGGGATTTCTTTCTCACACAAGGTCACAGAAAACGCCAAACAAGGAAGATAAAGCACGAATCAGGCTAAGGAGCGTGAGCCTCTCACTTGGGAGGTCTTATTAATAGTTGTTTGCTCTTTGAACCCTTCCTAAGAGCAACAGGAGGTTGGGGAACGGAAAAGCGGCGGAACCAGAACGAAGGGGGCGGAGTGGGCAAGGGGGAGTGAGAGAAGCGGAGGACCGGCAGGCCTAGTTTCCAGGCCACGGTCGCGGTTGCGAGGGGATGGAACCTCTGCGTGTGCTGGAGCTGTACAGTGGCATTGGTGGCATGCACCACGCGCTGCGAGGTGAGAGTGGACGGAAAGCTTCTCTTTGATTCACTTGGGGCTGCAGGTTCCCGCTCGCGTGCGCCATGGGGCGGAGCGGCGGGGCGGAACCTGGCAGCCGCCGATCTCGGTTGCCCTGGAAACCACCTCAGCGCGCCGCCTCGGTCCGCCCCTCCAGGCAGTGACACCCCTACTCGGGCCCCAAGCTTTGTAGCCTAAGCAGGCCTGGCGCCCAGGAGTAGTTTGTGAGGCAGGAATCTGGGGCCTGTGAAATCCAACTGAAATGGATCGAAGTTAAGGGAGGGGACGAGCCTTTTGCCCAATGCCAAGGCCCAAATTCTAGGCTGGCTGTCACGGAGCCAAGAGGAAGTCACGAAAGCAGGCTTGGGTGGGTTGGATCAAGGTGATAACTACAATTCAAGTGAGAAAATTATAAGTATTACAGTGTAGGGGAACCGAAAGGGGGAGGGAGCATGGTTAAGGCTCTGGAAAGAAAATGCCTTGTGCAGGCTCACACGGATGCCAGAGAACTGAGATCAAATTTTACTGTGGTGCGATTTTGGCTTTTCATTTCAAATGATTTTGACATTTCGAACCTGTTACTTGGTTTTAAGCATGTGAAACATAACTTTCAGGAAGGGACCTCAAGAATTAAAGATGGACTAGCTGCCTGACATATTGTAGCTATTTAGAAATTAGGTTGGGGGCACTTTCTTTTTGAGGCTTCTTAATATCTTTGGTATCTGTCCACTTTAGTGATATTAAAATATTTATTTTGTGAACGCCACTGACAGGCACTTGGGATTTGGAGTGACAAACTTTAGACGTGTGTATGTGCCTATGCTTGCATGATTGTGTGTGGGTGTGTGTGTGCATGTATGTCCTGAAGTTGCCAAGACTAAAACGAGTACAAAACAGAAACTTTTCTGCTTCCCTTTTTAGAACCAAGAGTAACAAGAGGCTAAGAAGCATACAGTGTCTAGTGGATTGAGTTTGTACATTTTTTTCAGTAAATATGATTTTCAATTCCATACTAGGTTAGAAATATTGTATGTTTTACTACTTTTCTGGTCTTTACATTCATGTATTATTAAAATTAAGCAAATTAGGGAAACTTTTACTCTATGCTCTATTAATTTCCTAAGGTTGTATAATGTTAGCTTCCCCCCATATCTTGAAAACTTTTAAGACAACTTAAAGCCACTTACTACTTTGTTATAAGTTATGAATAACAACTCCTTTCACTGTGAACTTGTGATTTCTCCTATTTTTCTGTCAAACACACTGTGCTGTAAATAAATCCTTGAGTTCAAATCTTGATTTTTTTTTTTCTTGAAATGTGCTTATGAATTTTGGATTAAATCATCCAACAATGAAGGTTGGAATCACAGTTCTATCTTAGCCATACCATGAGCTCTATTTTCTGCTTACCCAGTGCCTTCTGGTCTAGGCTCAGGGGGCTCAGTGGGCTTCTTATATTCCTTCACTCTTCTAAGTCCCTTCTTAGTCCCAGCCTTTACTTTTTCTGCTGCTGCCTCTCAGGTTGTTGTAAACGCAGACATTTCTACAATAGCTTTTTTTTTTTTTTCACCCATCTTATGAGAGATGACTTCTCTGTTATCCAAAGTAGCTTTTCTACTGTCCTTACATCTTTGGTTGGAGGTTTGCTTATAAAAGAGGCCTTAATCATATTAATACACACATTTTTTTCTAGTGTTTACCTATTTGATGAACTTTGGCTTTAAATTGATCTGTAATGAGGTACACTCTGATGTTTTCTTGTATTTATATAGCTAATAAAGGTTAATTACAATGACAGCAGGCTTTGACTTTTATTAAAGGCATCTACATGTCAGGACCTGTTCTGAGTCTGTAATAAGCTAGCTTAGTGGTAGAGCCAGTATCCTAAGTTAGGTCTGTCTTTCAGATCTTTTAACCACGCTCTATTGCTATCATTAATTCAATTCACTTACTTGAAGAGGAGCAGTAGTAAGAATATTGAATGCCAATTTATTTCTAGGCAATGTTTGTGATGGAGTTTTATTGTTGTAAATATGTGTGTATAAACATAGATATACACTAGAAAATATATCATTTTGTGTCTCAGATTACAGTTCAGCAACAGCACTTATATAGTGCTTAAAATGTATGGAGTACTCAGTACACATGGGGCAACTTGTTGCTCATATTCATAAAGTTATAGAAATGTATTGCATATTGTTAAAAAAGACTTTGGAAAAAAAGTGATGTTTGAAGTTGCCTGGCCTTCAAGTGTTACCGGTTTCTTTGAGAAATAAAAGCATGCCTTTATTTTGAAGTCAGATGAGTGATGATTGACTCACAATACTTGTGTGAACTATTGAAAGTTACTTAGCATTTCAGAGTGTAGGTCCATTATTTGTAAGATAACATGCTTTGTGAGAGCTAAGAAAAGGATGTAGGGTGTATAATGATACTAAGTAATGTTCCTTTTTTCCAATTAACTGAGTCCACTGTGGTGTTTCCTCACTGATAAAATCAGATAGTAATGATGCTAACTTTATAACACAATTTAGTGTAGATTTTGAAATTCTTAGTTAATATTGATGAAAGGTATATGCTTCCAAAAAGAATTGACTGTTAAGCAAACAGGACCCAGAATGACAAATTGAAATGAGATTTTCAGAGGTTAGTTTGGGAGATCTTTATGAGTGATATAATAATTGCTTATATTATATATATTACATAAATGTGTATATACACATATTATGTCTTATACATATGTGTATACATGTACACTATATGTAGATCTAGTTATATGTATGTACATACATATGTATAATATATATATAATTTAGTTACCATTATGTGTATGTTCACAGCCTAAAAGGTGTGTTTTGAGGAGTATCTTTTAATATATCTATATTTATATCTGTATCTCTCTCTCGATATATGTGTGTGAGCACTGGACAAGTCCATAAAAGATTGTTAGGTTCCCTGGAGCTGGACTTGCAGGTGGTTGTTAGCTAACCAACATAGGTGCTAGGAACTGAACTGGGGTTTCTTTGGAGAGCAGTAAGTGCTCTTAACCACTGAGTCATATCTTGAGCCCTCGTAAAAATAAATTATATTTATGGCAGTTTTTGATAGTTAACTAGACACAGAAAATACTGTTTTTTGTCCTCTACTATAGTTTTTATTGGCTTTTACCTGAATATGTCAAACATTGTGAAAGTGTTGATTATTGAGAAAACATTAGCAAAGAACACTGTAAATATTTTATAGTGGTGGTACATTTACCAAATGGTTCTGTTTCCTCAAAGCAAATTTACAAAAGACACATTTAGAATCTTTGCAGTTGAAGTCTGTAATCAGCTGTATCACATGTGTTTGTATTACTTGCTGCTTATTTAATAGTTTATTTCCTTTGAATTCTGCATGTAACCATTGCATTTTGGGGCATATGCTAATTGATTTTCTCTCTGTAAACTCCTTTAAAGAGCTTTAACTCCTATTTGTTTTTCTTTTCATTGAGTCAGTGGGATGAAGTCATGCATTGAGTTACCATTGTTTGTGTGTGTGTTCACAGCCTAACAAGTGTTTTGAGGAGTATTTTTTTTTTTTTTGTCATTTGTCTTTGATATTTTCCTGTTATTTCTCAGGCTCATAACAAAAAGAATGTTGAATTTTTTTATTCAAATATAAGGAAAGTCAAATTGATTGTTTTGTACTGGTTGTAAAAGTAGTACATTCTTTGGTGATCATGGTGAGGCATACCTGTTATCCCAACATTTAGAATTTGAGCAAGAGGGATCAGAAGTTTAAGGCCAGTACGGGCCACATGGTGATGCCCTGTCTCTAAAACAAATTTCGCCCTAATAAAACAAACCAACCAAGAGGTAGTTTGTTCTTTCTGTCTCTAAAATATTGAATAGTACAAAGAAGCAAAGATTACATCTCTAATTTTCATCACAATGATAGCCTTTGATAATGTGCTATTTTATTTTCCCTGTTGTCAGTGTATAAACCACACATAGAGACTGTCAACATTTGGGTCATGACTCAACAAGATATTCTATAACTAGCTTGGTCAATGAACAGTGTGGTTTTTACTGGATTGTCCTTTAAATGTATCTGTTCCTATACTTGCATGTAGTTTACATGTGTATTTTACAAACTTGCCTATATTTTTCTTTAGTGCAAATTTCCAAATAACTAGGTCTAATAACCAGAAAAATTTGTAGACTATAGAACTGGAAATATTACATATTCCTTAAAAAAATACTGGAGATACCATTTACAAATAGCCCTCTCTCTATTTACTGTATTTAGTGTCCACATATGGAAATAGTTGATTAAGTTGCTCTGTGACGAAGTTCCTGTTTCCTTAGTTGAAGAATCCTTCCTTCTTACATCAGATTAGAACACTTGGGAAATGTTGATTAAAAGATATAGTTTTGTTTGCAGATGTGTAGCTAGTTGATTACTCAGGTTGTTGCCTGGATACTGTTCTGCTTTTGAAGCTGATATTTGAAATGTATTTTTTTTTTTTCATGAAACAAAGATGTGTAGTGCATTCACTTGAATGGCTAGTGTTTTCTGCAAATGTCAAAACTCAGCCCAAACTAGTTGAGATAAAGATTGTAAATATAGACTCATTTAAAGGCTACCTCTAAATTTTGAGTAGAACTTAAAGTAGTGACTCATCATATCACCAGGTATTGATTTCTTTATTTGTACATCTCAGTTTTAGTCCTTATGGATGGGTACATGTATAGCCATCCTGGATTTTATTATGTGAGGGCTGGGAATTCGAACAGAAGTCCTCATGGTTTCAGAGCAAGCACTCTTACCCAGTGAACCATCTCCTGAGAACTCTAACCCCCCACCATATAGTTAACAGTATAGTTGTTAGAAAAAGCAAATAGTTAGACAACAACAGCAAAGGGGTTTTCCTCTTGCATTAGTTTTCTGCTTTTAACTGTAAATTTGGTACTAAAGTCTGGGTCATAGAATGGCAGGTCACGAAAGATGAAGATTTA